CATGGAACATTTTAAAGGTAAAATCATTTGTTTGCTCTGATACCATTTAGGTAGCTTTAATGAAAGAGGACTTTCAAGTTAAGTGATGTGCATCAACAATCGGGGGTTAGTTGTCTCTTCTGATCCTTACATTCCTCTAGGTTTGGGGGCAATGCCAAAGTGGTCCATTTCCTGGGATCACTCAAGCCGTGGAACTACTCCTACGACGCAGAGACGAAAAGCATCAGGGGTCACACCCAGGAGCCCTGCACACTCCACCCCGACTTCCTGCTGAAGTGGTGGGACGTCTTCTCCACGTCAGTGACTCCTATGCTGAAAGAACAGTACAGAGCGGAATCTTTCCTCTCTGTATCCAGTCACGATATTGTAAGTAGGCCGATTCCCTTTTAGTCCCACTATTAATGCAGAGAAAGGCATGAACTGAAGATTAAAATAACTTAATCTCAAAATTAGGCCTTAGTCCCCACATTAAGCCTAACTTAAGACAATGTTTTGATTACTTATGATAAGAGAGCTGCATGTCTTCCATAAACATAGTCAGAAATTCCAATAAGTTGTTTTCAAAAGTCAGTTCTCTGGTGCTAACCCAAGCCTAATTTCTTGATTACTTTTTACAGGCAAGCTGTTTGAATGAAGTCGTGTTCATCCTCATCTCGGGCCTAACTTAAGCCTTTACGTTTTGATTATTTGAAACCGGAAAGCCGCATGTAGTTATTCCTCCCATGTTTACCTGAATATGTATGTGAATGTTATGTTTGTTACAGGGATGGACATAGCTGGTATGCAAGTACGCATTCACCTTTAATAGCGATACGTGCGGCAATCAATTAATGTAACAGCACGAATAAGTATGTATTTTATGTGCAATGAGGTGCAAATGCACATAAAATACATACACATTTGTGCTGTTAGATTAATCGATGGCCGCACGTATCGCTATTAAAGGTGAATGCATACTGACGTACCCGGTATGTCCATCCCTGTACATACAGCACCTTACTGAAGCACCACCACCACCAAGAAAGACAGCAGCCCTCCTTCCCCTCATACACGCACCCTCACAGTAGCTAAGGTGGTGAAGGGAGAGGAGGGAATTTATGAATTAGGGGTGGTTCAAGCCTGAGCCACGTCCATCTACTATGCGACGTTATCCGCCAGATCGTTATATGTTGACCCCTTAAGGGTTGGTGGTCGGAGGCAGGATGGTGGCGCAACACACTAAGTCACCGGCACAAATACATTTGCTGGAGGTCAGGCTTGAACCAGCGATCTCCCGATCACCGGTGACTTAGTGTGTTGCGCCACCATCCAGCCTCCGACCACCAACCCTTAAGGGGTCAACATATAACGATCTGCCGGATAACGTAGCATAGTAGATGGACGTGGCTCAGGCTTGAACCAGCAACCTCCGGATCACCAGTGCCGGTGACTTAGTGTGTTGCACCACCATCCAGCCTCCGACCACCAACCCTTAAGGGGTCAAGATAAGATTATTTGTCATTAGAATGTTTCTCTTTGCTGGAGGTCAGGTTTGAACCAGCAACCTCCTGATCACAGGGCCGTAGACTTAGTATGTTGCGCCACCTACCCTTAAGGGGTCACCATAATGATCTGCCGGATAATGTAGTATAGTAGAGGATGTTACTCAGGCTTGAACCAGTGACCTCCTGATCACAGGGCTGGAGACTTAGTATGTTGCGCCACCATGCAACTTCAGTCAGACAATCCTGGGAAAGATTTGAACCCTGGTCCCACAGATGAGAAGGAGCAGTGCTAACCACTACACCACCAAGCCACACCTATTAAATTTGTAATTTTCATCAGGCCATATTAAATGGTCTGTCGTCAACGTGTAATAATTTATTATAAATGTATTTATCTGGGTTTATCTGGCTCTGGGAGAAAAGCCTAGACTTTAAGCCCTAGAGCAGTGGTGGGCAATCATATCCAGAAAGGGTCACTGTGTGTGCAGGTTTTCACTGCAACTCCCTAATTAGATTACTAATTAGAGGACTGATTGGCTGAAGAGTCCTCACACCTGGGTTAGAACCTCTATACTGGTTGGTTCCAAAACTGTTAAACTCTTGCAGTATGACAAACAGTGGAACTTATGACTCTTCTATCAAAGCTGGGGTTCAACCCAGCAACCTTGCAGTCACATATACAGAGACTTAGCTTACTGAGTCACTCTCCACCCCCCCCCCAGTGAAGATTGCACATGGTTCTGCATGTAAAGTTTCAATTTGGCAGACTGCTCATTTGGATACTTGTGTGTCTGTCCAGGATGATATCCGGAAGGGGGTCTCTCACATACATGTCGGTGAGCCCCCCCAGCAGCCGGAGCTCTCCTCAGAGGAACGCAGGAAGAGGTGGGAGCAGGGACAAGCAGACTACATGGGAATGGACTCCTTCGAGAACATACAAAGGAAGCTTGACTCCTTCCTTAAGTAAAATCCAGAACCAGATCCAGAGAATGACCCCTTAGTTACAGATATAACTCCACAAGTTTGCGAAAACATACACCGGCGATCGTCAGTGCTTTCAGGTGTTGGATGTAGTCATACTCGGCACCTTTTTACGGCTCATTTAAACATTTTCTCTCCACTCCCCATTTTCCGAAACCCAAAGACCTCTTTGTACACATGAAGGTAATTTGAAACTATGCAGCAATGTACCGCGAGCTTTCACCATGCAAGGACCGGGCGTTACACAACAGACTGGTGACTCGGCTTTTAAGTCACGTAGCATGACGTTCAACTAGACCAAATTTACCCCAACTAGTCCTTGAAGGTGCAATGTCCTCTCCCAACTGCCACAACACTCATCAGTTGCAAGAGATTTCTTCGAAATTTGTAACGTGTCACATGACTTGCCTGTAAAAACACACCTAAGGTACAGTTCTTGGACTTCTGGCGGTCTTCCATTTCTTTTCCTGCAGATTAATAACCCAGTTTCCAGTAGCTAATGCTACTTGCTGCTCCTATGTGGTTCCTCCGGAGCCAAACGACAGCTGCCTTAGCCTGCGGACCAGTTTACACGAGGCCTCCTCTGCCTCCCCTCGAGGTCTCACATCTCATCTGCGCTTTAGCTACCGTCCTGCTCCGAATGGAGATGTGGGTAGCAGCCTTCATGGTTGGAGTGTAGCTGAGCTTCCGGATGGCCCGTGCAATGCCGGCTGGTGATTCCGGCAGGTTGGCTAAGGTTTGTGTCGCAAGCCGTCAACTTGCGGCCTGTTCTGGTCCCGGCCGCCCCATCATGCGGTAGATGCTGTGCACAACGGTCTCTTGGGAAGTCTACAGTGACCTGTTGGTTTTCCATTGCATCATAGTACATAACACACTGGTGTCCCCCCACCCCCTTCCAGAAAAAGTGAGTAGTTTGACTGTGTGGTTGTTAGATGTACTTACTATATCTTGCAGTAGCTCCCCTCTCAATAAACACTGTTAAAGGACTATCTCTTGGATTGCTGAATTAGAAGATATGAGCCCCCCCCCCATTACTCATTAATATATCTACTTAAACATCAACTTTTGCCACAGTCTTCCACCTTCGTTGGTGACACCTGATTTAATTTTACAAAATACCTACAGTAAAGTGTGTATGTGCTGCTTTTGATGACAAACACAATAAAACAACACTTTCCAGGTATTCAGCCATATATTTGGTCTATGAATAACAATATAGTCATAACAAAGGCAGTTGTACATAGAGCACAAACTAAAAACAGCACCGCAAATTATAAACTCCAGACACCACATGGAAGGTTAACTGTCATGAAGCCATTCATGATGGCCAGCTGTCCCAGACACGGCAAAAACCTCTTTGGTCCCTCTGTGATCTCCCTGTAATCCCTCTCGGTTACCAATAGCAGCTGCGGAGCCTGCTGAATGCAATGGGCACGCCATCTCTTTACGGTCCTTCCAAGGGTTCTGTCAGTGAACTGCGAAAAACACAGTTGATTTAACAATAAGGTGCTGACAAGCGACTACTATCTAAACTAGGCATGTGTCTGAGTCTCTCAGATTACTTCTCTCTCCATGGCTCCTTCCGGAACCTAAATTTTCCCGCATTAGTTGCAACAGACAATGTTGATGCAAAAAGGAAAGGAAGTTTCTTGCACAAGTCAAGATTTCTTAAGTCTGTCGGGGTAGAAACCTGTGCTGTCACAACTCCATGAGCGCTCGGATGTCCTCGATCCGCGACCGCTTGCGCTCCTGCGCATGCGCGGCCCCGAAGGCCTTCTCCACCAGCTTCTGCTTCTTCTCCTGGATCCTGACCATATTCTCTTCAACTGAGTCCTTCACAATGAACTGGAGAAAAGGTTCGACAGAGGGTTTGATCTCAATTCGAAAAATGCCTACAAGGTTACTCCACAGGTTGGAATGTGGCTGGAGTTTAGATGACGACGGAGCGCGGATGGCAAAGACTCGCCTTGGTGATCACCACGTCCTTCTTCTGGCCAAGGCGGTGACATCTGTCGAAACACTGCTCCTCCGCTGCAGGGTTCCAAGCCTGCGACGAGAAGCACACACGGGGAAACGCTTTGAACGAAAGAAATGGAAAAGCGACAGCCACACATACCCCTTAGGCGTTGACTTTGTCGCTCCTGGTGAAAGACGTGGCCAGAGCATGCCCACTTACTGGGTCCATGAGGAAGACCCGGGAGGCGGCGGTCAGGTTGAGCCCCACCCCCCCAGCCTTGAGTGACAGCAGCATGATGGTGGGACTTCCTGGGGCAGGGTCCTGGAAAGCCTGGATGGCACTCTGCCTTTTCTTCTGGTTCAGGGAGCCATCCAGCCGTGTGAATATGAATCCCTGCTCCCTGAGCCGGACACAAGGAAGGGAGGCATTAAAGATCCTCCCTGAAACCCAGCCATTAGCCACCAAGAACTCTGTTATTGTTTCAGTCTATTACCGAGCCTAAATTGCTCACAGCGGTCTAGAGTGTTCTAGAGTGTTCCGGTCTAACTAGTGAATTTAATCTGAATTGCAGATTTCCTCGCCGTTCCATGCTACTGCTGCCCCCTGCGTCCTGTCCGTCGTGCCCATTTCCCTAACTGGGTCCCCAACTGGGAGATGCTCACGCTGGCGGCACCCAGTACCAAGCTCACCTTAATGGCACTTCAAGCTGAGACAGAAACTTGGTGAACTGAGAAACCACCAAGCTCTTGATATTGGGATCCTGGCTGCGCAGTTGGTGCAGATGAGTCATCAGGGCGTTCACCTGCGTGTAGAAGCCGTCAATCAATAAAACGGCAGGTGTGTCATCAAACCAGGGAGGCAATTGTATAAAACCTTGTATCGTGCTTCAAGTGACGGATGCCGTGGACTTGCCTTCGAACTGGACATCCAGGTGTCTTTGCCGTTGGCGGAGTCCAAGTCTTCCTGCTTGCCTGGGTACTCCACCAGCTCCTTGCTGTTGATCTGAGCGCGACACAACGGACATTTGGCACCCTCCTGAAAAACAGAGAAGAGAGATGTTCAGGACCAGATGATGGGAACCTTTATGTGTGGGACCCTTTACAGCCACCTGCCTGGATGGATGGATGGATGGATGGATGGATGGACACTAAAGAACGTGATAGCATCAGCAGTGTCACTGGGCAAACAGCTGCTGTGGGCGTGGCCTCACCTTCTCTGTGCGGATAACCTCGCAGATGCAGGGCTTGCAGTAGACGTGGGCACAGTAGGTGATGACCGGCTGACGGATGGATTCCAGGCAGACGGCACACTCCTCGTCCGAACCAGAGCTCAGCACCAGCGTGATCTTTTCCAATAACCGTGCTCGTAACTCGCCGGGTGTGCACTCGCCCTCTGGGGTACCTGGGAGGAAGAAAGACAGAAAACAAAAGGAGGGATGGAGAAGAATTTAAAGAAAAATAAAAGGAGGGGCTGAGAGGGCGGGGCCAAAAATAAAACCCCACCCATCTTTGAAATAATTGAACAACCTTGGTCAAAAGAAAATCACCACCCCAATGTCTGTAAGATTAAATGTTTACGTAATCAAGTAAGAATAAAGACACGGTGCCCTTAATTCCCGATTCTATCTTTGGCGGCCCGGTCTTACCATCTGTTGTCACTGTTGCCGAGATACCGGAGCCCCCCAATAGCTGCGGGTGGCAGCAGAGCTGACGCAGCCGGAGCAGGATGGTCAGCACGTCAGCATAGTTAGTCAGGACAGTCCCCTCCCTGAGGTACCTGCAAGCAGCGGCCATGGTGGCAAATCGGGTGAAGAACGTCGAAGGACCCGTTGGCCCCGTTTGCTGCTGGGAGGTGCCCCTCTACCTGGCTATGATGGCCCTGCCATCCATCCTGATCCTCTCGTACTGCTGCCTCTCCTCTTCAGAGAGGATCACGTGCTGGACGAAGACCTTCTTCTCAGGAAGTTTCACCACGGGCCGCCCACCAACCCTGCTGGTCTTGGTGCGCCGAAGAGTGATGCCTTTCACCAGGGCCTGCAGGTTCCTGACCCAAAAATAAGTAAAATAAAATGAAATTTTTCAACTGACAGGTGTTTCTCAGCCACTAAACAGATGGACAAGTATTACAATTTTAGATTTTATCTCTTAATATCAGCATTTCCCAATCCGGTCCTCGGGGACCCTTAGCGGTTCACATTTTTGCTCCCTCACCCAGGAGCTGAGAGGGAGCAAAAACGTGGACTGTCTGTGGGTCCCCAAGGACCGGATGGGGAAACACTGCTTTCTTATTATCTATTTTATATTTACCAAGCATTCTTAAACACAGCACTTTAATAAAAGAACAAAGGGCTTATAGATATAGTATAGACGTAGTTTTTTGGTCATGGGAACCCCCTCAACATGATTGGTTTTCTCATTCCTCCAATTGGGGCTAAGTAATAGTATGTAAGGAGAGCAGGTATTTTGGGAGGTGAATTGTACAGGCGGCCCAAAGGGATTTCAGACACTAGAGGTACGTAAACGTGACAATGCCATCCCCTGAATACCCACTTCAGGCCGGTGTCGTCTCCCAAGGTTACGGGCCTCTGGATGACCCGGTTCCACCACTCCCACACGTCGAAGGGCTTCAGCTTCAGGAAGGCGATGAGCATCCACAGGTCCTTAAGCGAGTTCTGAATAGGAGTGCCTTCAAAACGAAAGACAAGGAAAACCAAGCCAGTTACCGAGCGCCATCTGCTGTTGAAAAATACAAACTGCACCAGGAACATGGACGTCAATATCAGGACATGGTTTACACAATAATAGACAGTACAGAATAGAATTTCCATATGAAAATAAGTAAATCGATAAAGATGGCAAAAAAAAATAAGTGGGCGAGCAAGAAAATAAGCACAGAACTGTAGCGAATATTTACTAATTTGCTGGACAGATATTGCACATGTTCCCAGAGTGATTTACTGGTTGTGCAATCTGATGACTGCTGGAAGGAGTGATTTGCTGAGGCACTAAGAGGAGCGTTTTATGCTAAATGGCTCAATGTGCTTTTCTGTCCAGACACAGCACTGTGAGGCAGATGAGCAGCATTGTCCATGATCGACCGAAGTTTGGACAGCATCCTCCTCTCTGTCACCGTGTCAACAGCATCCAGTTCATCCCCAAGAACTAATCCAACGCTCACGATTGGCTTGTTGAGTCTGTCGGCCTTTCATACTGCTGCCCCAAGTGCACAACAGCGTAGAAGACGCTACGAGAGACTCAGCCACTGCATGGAATGTGGGAAAGGCTGGGGTTATTCGCAGGCACTGACCTGATAAGATCCACCTGCGCTCGGCTTTCAGTGCCAGTACGGCCTTGCTTTGCAGTGCGTTGGGATTCCGCACCACGTGCCCTTCGTCCAGGACCACCCGCAGCCAGCTGACCGTGTGGAGAGGGCTGCTCCTGTTGTTCTAACGACAGCAGTCAATTGCAGGATATGCTAAATCAATGTCTCCCAAGACGGTCCATGTTTTTGTTCCCTCCCAGCTCCTGGAGCGAAAACGTGGACCGTCTGTGATAAACATAACAGTGATAGGTGCAGGATAAACCACTGACTATCAGAGGTGAAAAGTGCAGGTCCAGAAAGTACAAATCCAGACCAAGATTGTTTCAACCAACCAGCTGAGTTACTCTGTGAACGCGACTCATTATACTCAACTGGTTGGTTGAAACAAAATCCTGGTCTGGATTTGGATCTTCTGACCCTGATCTTTACTGACTGTAGCAGTGATGTGCAATCTTATCCAGAAAGGGCCGCTGTGTATGCAGGTTTTCACTAATTTTACTAAATTAGATTACTAATTACTACTTAGAGGACTGATTGACTGAAGAGTGCTCAAACCTGGGTTTGAACAGCTGACCTAAAAGTTCTCCCAAAAACCTGCGTAAACACCGGCCCTTTCAGGATAAGACTGCCCACCCCTGGCCTATAGTAAGAGGCCTATCAGAGCAATTTTCTGGTTCTTACACCAAGTGGACACAAGTGACAAAAGTGAAAGGCGTCTCACCCCATAATCTGCACTCAGGACGTTATAGGTGGTCAGCACCACATCTTGCTGGGCCAGGAACTGGGGGTCACGGTTCCGCTCTGAGCCGTAATACGCATACGTGTTCATATTCACGTCTGCGCACACGTGCTGCTCAAACTGCTCCTAAAAATGTATTTAATCTCCACGTCACTCCAGATATAGTTCTAGACATGGCAAGAAAAATATGTTTTTTTAAAAAAGAAAAAACAGTGGGAGGGTGTTACAGGACCAGACCATAGTGGGACCAGGCGGGGGTGTTCCACAAAGCAAGATTTCTCAGCTGGGTTAACTTAAACTAGAAGATACGAGTGTCCAATAAGAGTTTACTAAGGAGCACTGCTATTGGGCACTCATGATGTCTAGATTAAATTAACCCAGCTAATCTTGCTTTATGGAACACCCCCACGGTCCCACTGTGGTCTGGTCCTGATTTGCAAATGAAATCGCATTCAAGCGCACAGTGGGAAATAGCGCCTCCAGCTGGTAGTCAGAACACACGCACCAGCCAGCTGCCGAGCACAGAGAGAGGGCAGATGATCAAGGTTGCTCTGGCCATTGAACTCTCCTTAGACTTCAAGGGATTTTTACCGCCCCCTACAGACACACACGCAAAAATACTTGTACACACCCATCCTCGTTAATGGCAACAGCTTGCTCCTGCAGCAAATAACCAATAATCTTATCTTGCACAATCCTGCCTCTGTCTGTATGTGAAGGAACATCACAGATTCTCAGCACCACATACCGCTACCCTTGACTTTTTTATTCAGCGCATATGCCCCCTGCTGGAAGCCTCCAAGCGCTGCGGCAAAGCCAGCATCTTCTGTCAGCATGGCTGATGCTGTCAAACACAAAGACCGTCCCCTTGAGGCTGGGCTCACAGAACAATGCCTGTTTTATTTATTCATTTATTTCTAAAGAGAGCAGACCCACAGGGAACTCAAAGGGATTTCAAAGATAAAAAGAAATTATGCAATTTTAAGGTTCACTGTTTTAAAAAAAAAAGTAATTAAAAAAAATATATAAAAAAATCACTGAGTTGTTAGAAAAGAAAAGCTAAAGATACCCTTTTTGGAAGTCGTCCCAGGGTTTTCTTTCTTCTTGACTGAAAGAGACGAGCAAAAACCAGATTCCCACCGACATCCAAACCAGCAGCACCAGCAGAGCAAGCTTTAGCGGCTATGCTAAGTACTGCATATTACAGATTTCACATTACTTACTGAAGCATCATTTGAGGACACAACACCAGACTGAGAAATTTCTCAGTAGTCCTATGCTCACCTTTTTTCCCAGGCACCTCTCCTTGTCTTAGGTCTCTGAACTCGTCTTCGTGATGCCTTTGTGGCGCAGTCAGAAAGAAAAAAAAAAAACACCTTTGACAGTCTGATCCAACGGAGACTAAATGTAAACCCGACAGAGGACGTTGCATTGTATTCCAGTGGAAGCTGCCTACCATCAGAGACAGCATCCAGGAGTTCCTTACCGTTTAGAATGTGACATACTCGCAGAGGCTTGTGGGATTTCCTCATCGCAATCCTTCCCTGGAAAAAAATCCAAGGATGCCGGATGAATTGCATTAAGACACCGCATATAGCTCATTTCCACGCTTTAGCGGGTGGTGAGACATGTGAAGGGTGCATCAGTAAACCCTCCTGAACTCACCTTTAAGGGCTGAATCTTTCCCTGTTTTCGAATCAGCGGCACGGGATCTGTTTGTCTAAAACACAGTCAGGAGAGCTCTAGGTATCATCAAAGACACACTGCAGCCATGGAGCTCTGAGCAGAACGGGTCTGCGGAAGGTTGTGCGGTTTGCTGGCTACCTTCATCTTCGGCACAGTGGCGCATTTCTGCAAGGGTAGAGACTTTCCGTCTTGGAAGTTGGTGAGGATGAGTGCTATCGTGGTGAGGGTCTTTCCCTGAAACACAAAATTGCAGAAAACTGGACACCAAAGAATGAAACATGACTTTCGCTTCAGACAAGCAAATCGGTTTTGCGTTTCCGACTAGAAAGACCATTACAGACAGCCGTACTATTAATATACTCAACAATAACAACCTCGGAGTAACCTTTTCCCACAAAGGGTACATCTCACAGAGATCAAGCATAAACTTGTCCATGTTCTCACCAATCCCATATCATCAGCTAAGATCCCCCCCAAGACTTGGTCTGGTCTCTCTCTGACGGCAAAGTTTGTGAGGACGTTGAAGAAGTGTCCGTTCTCCTCCTTCCAGAACGGGGGCAAGTCGTAACTATTCTCCCGGGAGGTCATCCAAGCCAACGCCTGCTTCTGGTGTGGAAGCAGAGGCGTGCAGACGGCCTGGAATGACAGGAACCATGAGGCACTAACAAGATGTGATTCCTTGACCAACAGATTTGTCTCAAGCTGTTCTAACATCGCCAAGTCCAGGGCTGAACTTGCAACTTGTTTGGTACCATTCCGAGAACAGTGGAAGCACGTCAACTGTAATCAGGTCATGGGCTGAAAACCTACAAATCCCTCGTTATTCATTTATTAGATGCTTCTAATAAATTGCCCCAACTTGGAAGCCTGCCAGTAGGCAAAAAAATAATAATTATAATAAATCTTAATATAATTAAAGAGTACCAATTAGCCAATTAGCATTAAAGGAATACATCATAACATACAGAACATGGCTAACCGTTAACAGTCAGGTAAACAAACTTTCAGTACAGACAACAAACAAGTTTCTCTTCGTTGCATATTTGTCCTACAATAGGTTCATTATTTGAATCAAGTATCATATAAACAAAACCAAATACGTCAACGCGAGCCAGCAAATCGGACCTCGGCTGGTTCCATCTCCCGGGTCTTGTCTTCCATGAGATCATCAAAAAGTTTGTCGAAAGCATTCTTCAGCTAGGAAGTGGACCAAAACAGAAGCACAAGGCTGAAAACTAGACACAATGATCTCGATAATGTGCCGTCAGCTAGGAAATAGCAACAACTCTGAGGGTGGAGTAAGAGACTGATGTGTCATAATAATACTCTGTAACTATATTGTAAGGGGCTAAACTAGAAGTTAAATTCGCTCTATGCAAAAAGAAAATAAAACGAACAAACCTGCTCAGCAGTTAGTAACTGCGCGGCTGGTTTCCTAGAGCCAGACCAGAACCTCTCCAGCGTGTTACCTGCTCTTGTGGGTCCCTTTGCACCTGGCAGAAGTAGAGGACCAGTCATTTCCTCTGGCATCTATACCAAAGGGGGGGGTTCGGAGAGACATTAACTACCGTTACAGGAGTACCTTGAGATGCTGAGTCGAGCTTGAAGCCATGGTTGGCCAGCTCATTCACCACTGCCACCCTGTTCTCCTCTTTGCCCCAGAACGAGAGGTGCACGGGCATCGTGAATGCGTTGTTTGTACGATAAGGTACCACCCTAGAGGAACAAATTGGGCAAGAAATAAATCCATTAAACTGTTAACTTTGCAACTCACACCAAATATTGACAGACTGGCATTGTTAAGCTGCCAAAGTTAAACCTCTGAAATCAGGAACAACCTGCCATCTACAGATATAAGGATCCAGCAGCTATTAATGTGCCCAATAACCGATGGTGCTCCAAATCCCAGACGCTTCACACCGACTCACAGTGGGGTGACTCACCCCTCCACCCTAGCAAGGTTGTTATCCATGATTTCAGCCAACGGGGCTGCCAGCTGTCTCCTGATGTGCCCGACCTGATTCCCGTAGACATTGGCCACCATGACTGCATTTCTGTCATAAGGATTGTGCGGCTCCCTCACTAAGGAGATCATTTCTCCGTTGTTCACCTGGAGATAAAATTAAGAGAGGTGACCAAGACGTTATTTTTTGGCTTAACTCACACATGATGGTGCCTTATTCAGCAGAGCTGCCAACTTTGATCAGCTGGCTGGAGTGAGATTTTCACTTAGAGACAAGTCTGCACACATGCACACACGTATGTAACAGTTTTACTACCTTGTAAACAGTCTGTAGGGTTTGCAAACTGCCCCACGCTTGTGATGTAGCTGCCATTAGGTTTATAACGGAATAATACACATTTGCCGCAAGACTGCTTGCGTGCGAATCACGCCAGATGTGTGACAGTTGGCAACCTGCTTTAGAAAGAAAGCGTATCAGATGCCTGATTGCTGTTTACGTACCACGCCTGTATAGTATCGCAGCCCCACGACACTCCCCTTAATGGTCCCAAACAGCACGTTTGCCTCCTGGTCTTCATTTTCGGCAAGTGAGTCTTCCTCGGCCTGCCGGATCGCCTGAGACAGGGTTTCCGTGAGGTCTGTACCGAAGAAGTCTACGGAGGTTAATTGGAAGCCCTCGAACCGCCTGCGCTGCCCGAACTGCATCACGAACCAGGATTTATTGTGGACACCGCTAACCTAATTAGAAGCCACTTAACTGGAGCAGGAATCGCCTTTCAGTAAAGAAACAGACTAACTTACAACGCTTTCATGCCTAGTTTCTGCTCCTCTACAGTCTAGTAGATAGCTACACGACCATATACCACACGCCCACTTGTTGGGTAACATGCGGTTAAACTGTCCTATGAATGGCAATCTTGTTTTCAAAATTTAATTTATGTATGACGTCACGTCCAATCCGTGCGCCGTCGAAATCATTTAAGGCGGGGTCTATCCCGGAAATAAACAGGCCCTTTAGGTTCAATGCAGCGCTACACACTACAATGAAAAATAACTAGAGGGGCAAAACTCGATAATGTAAGGGTGACTGCACCGGAAGTGTGATGTGGACAATATCACAAATAGTAAATCTGTTTTTGCATGATATGTTTGTGCAATCAGTTGATTTTTATTCAGGTTTTATTCACCAATTGCTATTTTGAGATTATTCGTTTTTATTATTTCGTTGATTAGAAATGCATTTCCTACATCCGATAATCAAACTTTTGAAGCTTGCAGGATATGGACTTCTTGTTAACAGTGAATATATATGCAGACAATATCTGTGTTCTGAGGTGGACATTTTAGGACATTTAGAAATCCAGACCAAGGTTTTATTTCAGCCAACCAGTTTTGCACAAAGTCACAGTGACGGAGTACTGATCTGGTTGGTTGAAACAAAATCTTGGTCTGGATTTTTACTATCGGGGTGTGAATTAATTGCCACCTCTCTATACAGATATTTTATTGCGCATCATATAATGCATCTCCGGACAGAACTCAAAACTCAGTTCAGTGCATATACGTAGAATATATAAAAAAAACAGACTGTTAATAAAGTGGATTTAGTGCAAGCTAAAAAAACGCATAAATTTAACCAATGCATCACTTGTCTATTATTATAGGAACCGGGAGGTCAATGGCCTCACATCCATGTGGACTGCTGTTCTTCAAAACATTGTCTTCTCTCTGCTTCTGCGGTCTTGCCAAGAAATGTGCGTTGTTGTGATGACTGAATCTATTAACCTTTCATTATTCTCCCCCTCACCCTCATGTTTTCCAAGAATTGTTTTTTTTCCCAATGCACTGGAGCTTTTCATAATATTCCCCAAACAAGACAGCTGTATTATGGTAGTTTGTGCTTGAGCTAAAAATTAAGGCTTAATTTGTTCTATCAACCGCCCCCCTCCTCCCCGTTGTTTTCCATATAATTCATGACATTCTTGAATATCTACGCCATAACCAAAAAAGTGACGGTGTCGATAATCCGACATCTTCGTTGCCCACATGCCTCATGCAAAAACAGCAAAAAAATACCACAACCTGAACAATTCCTACAGTAAATACGTACTTGTTAAAGCTTCAAGTCACACCCACAGTGAAGTCCGGACTTCACCTCCCATCTGGCTCCATTCTTTCCCCCCGATTGTCATCAGAAGAAGCGTAAATGACGTCCGGCAAGTGCGAAATACTTCTGCACCGTTTTACCGCACGCACTTCTCCAGGCAGCAGCCGACATGGTTTCGCCGTCGATCAGACGGGGCGCGGCTCTGGTGGCGTTTTCCGTGTTCCTGACGCTGATCCTGGGCTTTGGGCTGCCGGCGGTGCTAAACTTCGCCGCCGTACGCTGCGGCTTTCCCGAAGCCAGTGTGGCCGAGTGCATCGTTGCAGTCTATCTGGTCTTCGTGCTGTACGTGGCCATGCCCTCCGTGCCCCGAGGATCCGTGAAGGTGAGGTGCACATGCACGCGGCTCAGGCTGATCCCCTCTTTTATTTTTGCTATAGTCGATTGCTTTCTCCCTGTGAGCTTTCTTAAATTAAGCGAACTATCGTTTAATAAGAGAAGTCAATTTACTGGTTGTCTAAAAGTATTATTAAAGTTTCTATTCACAGAATTGCAAAATTAATGATGTTTATCATTAAATTATGTATTACACTGGGCGGAAATTTCCCAGGGGAAATTAGGAAAAATTAAACCTCCATTTTCTTTGTTGCTGGTCCTTTAGTAAAACAGTACAGTAAAACTCAGATTTATCCTACCAATATGGGAATTGTTCAGAAACACTAGTTCTTGTTCATTTGGTTCTGATGTCGGAGTTTGATTTTAACTGAATGTGCTTACATCACGCTAACTTTTCAGGAAAGTTTCTGCTTTATCTTTATAAACGCAAATGAAACCTATTTTTTTACAGTATCACTCCTGTACGAAGCAGTAATACTGTGGTGTTATGCACGATTCGTTAACTTTAAGGTGTTAGCGATTAATCTGGCGTGACTTTGCTCTTTTGCGGGTTAATCGGCTGGTTGAACGTTTACATTTGTCTGTGCAGTTTACGGAATGAGTGAGAATTTTAATTCCCTGAAGGCATGTGGAACTATAAATAGTGTTTTTGAATACAAAATGTACTTTGATGATCGGTTCCCTTTGCCCCATCCAGATTGCCGGTAAAGCGGTGCTGATTACCGGTTGTGACAGAGGATTTGGATTCGCTCTGGCCAAACACCTGCACAAGTTGGGATTTACCGTCTTCGCGGGATGCCTGCTGAAGGTACCGAGGTTTCTAGCCGTCTGCTGTTCACTCTTCGGAATAGTTATCAGTCAGTCATCAGTGTAGTTTTTTCCATCCAGGTACGGACAATTCCCTATAGTTTCTGACTTGCCAGTGGATATTTTTTCATTTTTGGTGAAGAAAATTGCATAACATGCTGTTACTTGTCAGGAACATTGGATAAGTAACCAAGTAACTCACTCAACTACTTAAATGGAATTTGACTTGAGACCAATATGTAGATTAGATATACAGTTTATTTTTTAGCAAGTAAAGGTTCTGTTTCACAAAGAATAGTTTTTATTTTACAAAGTTTTATTTATTTATTTTTAAATTAAAATGTCTTCCGTCAATGTTGATAAATTCCTGGAGCCTATCCCTGACACTGTGACTCTTTAGCACACACGTCCTGGTTATCATCTATGTCCACAAATGCTAGGGAGGTAAACTCCTTAAATTCATTCACTGTGTGGGGCTTCCTCTCAAAAACCTCCTTTACGCCCCGAGATAAAGGTCCCTTGGTGTCTGGTCGGGTGAATGTGGTGGGCAGTCAGTGTCGCATCCAACACTCTGGAAAGGTTGTCAAAACTGTATACCTACTGTTGGCCAACCATGTATATAACAGAGGTCCTTCCAAGCCTCAGTAATCCCATAAACTTATTTTTCCATCTGTAGCATAGTGGCCAAACACCCACAATGCCCTGCATTAGTTGAAATTGATGTGCAGAGCATTATGATGTATTACGTGACTGGGCGGCTTGGAGCAGAAATTTGGCATCATCCGTTGCTTTTGCCAGGAGAACGGCGGAGACGGCGCTACGGAGCTGGAGAATATGCACTCTGACAGGATGAAGGTGGTGCAGCTGGACGTGTGCAGTGACCACCAGGTGTCCCAGGCCGTGGAGTTCGTGAGAAGCAACCTGGATGATCCTGAGAAAGGTATAAGGGCTGGACCGCAGGCTCCCTTCACTCCAGGGGACAGATCGAGGATCATTTGTGACCATTTCTGATGAACACCTCCTCTTCGGGCCAGGTCTGTGGGCGGTGGTGAACAATGCTGGGGTCTCCACCTTTGGAGAGGTGGAGTTCACCAGCATGGAAACGTACAAGCAGGTCTCAGAGGTGAACCTGTGGGGCACCATCAGAGTGACCAAGGCCTTCCTACCTCTCATCCGCAGGGCTGAAGGTGAGCTTAAGCTAGAACTTGGAGGTCCTGAGACCTAAATCTTGAATGGTCAGGAAAGCTTCTCCAAGACATCTGGCACTGTACCAGTGCGTCGGCCACTTTCTCCTTGGTGCAGTTCAGTGTAATTGGCCAGTAGAACACTGTTGATTATTTCAATTTCATTCTGGAGCAAATCGCTATACCGTTTTGCTAAGGTTATGGAGAATAAGTACTTAGTACTTGCATAGTATACTTCCATAGGAAAATTAGAATGAACGGCCCTTTGATCGGGTACTTTGAGGCTGGATGAAGATGGGTGGCTGGTTCACTGTGTCCGCAGGCAGAGTGGTGAACATAGCCAGCATGTTTGGGAGAATGAGCAACGCCATGCGCTCACCATACTGCGTGTCCAAGTACGGAGTAGAGGCGTTCTCCGACTGCCTGCGGTACGAGATGAAGCGCTGGGGCGTCAAGGTCATCATCATCGAGCCTGGTAACTTCATCGCCGCCACTGGCATCCTCACGCGGGACACTGTGGCTGCCACTGCGGACAAGATGTGGAAGGAGGCGCCTAGCAAAGTCCAGAGCGATTATGGGATGGGCTACTTCGAGCAGCAGGTCGCCATGGTGCGGTCCTACTGCAGCAGCGGGCAGAGGGATGTGACGCCAGTCATGACCAGCATAGCCGACGCCGTGGTGTCCCGCTACCCCTACACCCGCTATAACCCCATGGAGGTGCACTGGTGGATCCGTATGCAGATCATGACCCACCTCCCGGCAGCCATTTCCGACAGGCTGTACTTTTGATCCGGAACATTCCGGAGGCCTGTCAGTTAGTCTGGTACGAAGTGTCACATTCACATGGTTACAAATACTTGCAATCAAATTTTTATTCAGATGAACATCTATCATTTTGTCACTTCCAAAAGATACTGTGTTGAAGAATTTCTTTAAACTGTGACTTAGCCTTAGAACCGTGCCAGCATGGTTTGTGTTAAGTGCTTTTACGCTCTCTGTGTCTGCTCTTGGATACTGTGTCTTTGTGCATTTTATTTTTGTTTTGGTGTCAAACAGTGCAGCTCCCCACGGCTGTGCTACTGCTGGTTCCGGAAAACATGAAAATGTTCCATGGTGTTTGGGGGGGGGTGACGGCGAGAGGCTGGCTGATTCCCCAGCTCTAATGCTGTCAAGATAACCCCACAGGCTGGTACTTCACTCCCTGGGGGGGATTTTTACACCCCCCCCCCTTAAGTGTAAAGTGGGTCATGTTAAAGCCTACCACGTATCAGGATTTTTTAGCACTGTGAAGATACCCGAAGCTGTTTCAGGAGCTGTCTTGGTTTGAGATGATACATGCAGTGTGGTTTTTATACATATGAACTGTTACCAAAACATTAAGATAATACTTCCATACCAATTTTCTTCTGCAGGTTAGACGTAAGCAATTTAAAATTTCACTGCATTCCACAAAGGAATGGAACAATGTCTATTCAGCAATACTGTGGTACTAAGTGAAGTCATTCAATAAAAGTGTTTTTATGATCGTCACTGTTCTTTGCCTCGACCTCTATGTTCTGTTACAGAAATTTCCAGATTAATCAAAGTGAGGTCGCCTTGCAGAACCAAGCGAGTTGGAGGTACCATTGACGTAAACAGGGTGGTTCAGTTGGGTGTGACAGTGCACGGATTAACCCCCCGCCTTTACAAACAACTTCTAATCAGTCCGACATAATACTATATAGTTGGCATCCATTTATAAGCAGTTGGGGGGGGGGCTGCATGATTGTTCATAGAGCTTATGGTCGAGCTTAAAATGGCACAAGACCAAACACAGAATCCTCATCTTGCTACAAGACAGCCAAACTACTAAAGCATCTCACTTGGGCCGGTTCCACAGTTCAAACAGGCGGAAACTTTCCATTCTCCCCTGACAAACATCTACTCCACTGCTGATTTGCCGTATGGCTACCATCCTAATGTTGTGAGCATAGAAATATTAAAATAAGTCTTTCCCAGCCAGTCACAGTTCTTTAATGTTTTGCCCCTTTTTATGTGACATATCAAGTACGGTTTGTGAAGATTAATGACCACATAGCTCATTTTACAATCCATGTAAATTTTACAATGCATAGCCACTAGAGGTCTCCAAAAGGTACAGATTCCTGACCAGCACTTGCTTTCCACCGTTTTGTGAACAGCACCTATTGCATTCTCATCTCTTAAGGCAAATTAAATTTAACACAAGCAACACAGAGTCGTTAACCATTTTATTACTTAATTTTAACAGTCTAGATAAACTCAATTATATGTGAAGTTGACTTCCCATGTAAACAGGAAGGGAACAATATATTATTTTTCACAGTATAGCCTGTTCCTTTCCACCGCTTAGCGAGACTGCTCTGTGTCACACGGGCCCAGATGGTACGCCTGACTCAGCGGCCACTTGGCCCAGACGAACCAATCAGCATCGTCCGACCGAGACTGAGAGCGACAGGAAGAACCGGCCTCTCCAATTCGCTGGCATCAGATGGCCAAACATGCACCAGATTGACTATGGGGGGGGGGGGGTTGAGCAATCATACAAGCCCCCATAGTAAAGTACTTCCAGGCAGTATCGGGCATTTTTAATTACCTTACTGCAAATTAATAATTCCTAGCTTAAAATTAACTACAATAAATTAAGGTCACTTGATCCCTCCCAAACACAGGCAACATCTAAAAGATAGAAGAACGCAGGTCTTATGCTGTTAGCAACACGAATGGAGAATGATCCTGGCCGGGTGAGTGGCAGTGCCTCGTTCCGCCTCTGAGCGTGACCCCCCCCTGGCGCTGCTCTTAAAAGCTCGGTTCTCATATCACCTGAACACCACTGCCCCCCCGCCTTCTTCGGCCAATTTCCCAGACAGCCCACCTTACCACATAACTTGCTTTCTTTCCCATCATCTCAACCTCCAGTCTAGCTCACACAATGTAAAAAACATTAATACCTTAATATCATATCTTAAGTACATCTATCCATTTCTCCTCCACCAGAGGTCTGCAGGACACCACTCTGCCCGCTGCCCCTGGAACTCTGACAGAGATGCCACAAGATACTGCTATTTTCCATAAAGACAATACTACCATTTAATATCTAAAAATATCTCCTTCCTTAAAATTTTCCAAAATAAAATTTTGGCCCCCGCAGAACTCGGAGGTTCTTCCTCCAAATAAATTCTGTCTTAAAGCTACAGATGTATTTAGAGAAACAGGGGCGAGGAAAGTGGCTGCGGGATTAGTCTCAGGGTAACACAGATCTATACTTCAGGCCAAGCGACAGCGCTGCTGGAGGGAGCTGGAGAGGGAGGCAGAAGCATGAAACGCAAACAGGACATGACATCACTGGCTTGAGTTCTGGCTAGAGTTCTGTGCAAAACTAAAGATGGGAAAACATGCAGCATGCTGTGATGATAAATGAATCTAAGTTACTATAAGAGAGCAATCCTCTCTCTCTCTCTCACTCTCTCACTCACACACACACACAGTAATATCATTAGCAAACCAGATAGAGATAGAGACCCCTTATAGTAAACGCTATGTGTTATGGAATTTTTATGAAGTGGACGCCCCTGTTCTAAACCACTGAGTAGTACTGCCCATTTCTTACATCATTCTCTTCAAAGACACTGCAAAGGGACAAAACCATCCTCTCCATCTGCGGGGATGGAGGGAGCAGTGACTTCATTATCTAAAGACTACACGATATGCTTCTCAGAGAAGGAGACCTCCAGGAATTACCAACGATGCAAGTATTTGTTCCAGAATGACAGGGGTCCCTGGGAGGCATGGAAATCCCCACTTTAGGGTCACACCCACAATCCCACACTCCCCTCTCCTAAAACCTCAAGAAGCAACAGAAAGTCCGATTCATCTTGCCTCAGGTGGTATAAACCAGTTCACAACCAAATCCGAATTCTGACAGTTGTTGACCACAAATTAAAAAAAAATTAATATATATTGGTCAAAGTCTGTTTTACACATTGCCTTAATTGGTTGCTGGCCTATAAACTGAAGTTTCATAGCACTGCTGAGCGAGTGAGTGTGTACAATTTCAAGAAATCTCGAGTCCATTTTCTTCCTCAATCCAAGCTCTTCAGGCACTAAGAAAAAAACATCTCTTAGATGTCTGAAAGTCCAGGGAAGTTCACTTCAAGCAAGGCAAGCTTTAAAATGAATATAATATATATTAACAAAAACTAAATTGTAGTTGATAAATGCCGTAGTCAATATACATATGCATCTACGACCTAAACACGACTTGTGAAATCAATACGTTTGAATGCTTTTTCGTTAAGTCGTTTCCCGACGATGAGTCCGCTGGCCATGTACTGTCCTCTGCTCCCGTTGAAATGATTGCTATTTCCGCCGGCGGAACTCGGCTGTAAGTGTCTATGGTTCTGGGAGGTCCGGGTGCAGTCAGGAGAGCGGCTTCACCAGATAGAGTTTGTCTCCTTGTTCACTGGTGAAGATGGGGGCCTTCTTGTAGTGTTCCACCAGCTCCTCCATGGAGTTGAACCTGCGCTGACCGATGCAGTAGAGGATGTCCTTCAACTGTACCTTGAAGTGCTTGTTTTTGCCCTGGGCCTTCAGGGAGATGGAGAAGTCGTTGGGCTGGGGGGGGGGATTATGGGAAATGGGAAAAAAAAAATAGGTTAAAATGACCAATCAGTATCAGAGTAGTGAGGTCAGTCCCTCTGCAATTCAAACTATTCATTTTTCCCCTTGCTTTGAAGAAACCGCTGAAATAAAGGGCTTTTCTTATTCTTCCCACTGACTCGACACTCAGCGTCGGTGTGTCTGGCATGAACATTTCCATTTAAAATTCACTATCGGAGTCAGTCAGTCGTGTGGGTGGCAATGCCACTCCCCTTACGTGGGTTACCGTCCTACATCTTTAAATATTAACATGGCCGTATATTTGCTGGAGCTACTTCTTAGCTCCAGACTATTTCCTGAGGGCACAAGAAAATGGAAATTTTGGAGTCTACAGTACAATTTGAAATTAATCTTGAAGCAAATATGGTCCACTGGATAAAAATGTTCCTGTTAAGTAAAAAAAAAAATATATATATATAGTGCTAAGTGATGGAAACTTGGGTCTGAGGACAGGAGATGAGGAATTCATCCTCATTTCTGCTGCACTACTGTCAGACATTAAGACCCTTTGGCATGCAATGATGTCACGTCACATTGCGAGCAGATCCTAAATCGAGGCTCCACATGGAATAGAGCCAGTTACAGTTTGCTGCTACTCACTGATATGGGATCCAGCCTGAATTCACTGGCTGAGCCACCAGGGGGAGCCATAACAGGTGCTCACTGACATGGTCGCAACCACCTGATGAACTTACCGAGGATTCGCTGTCCCTGATCAGGAAGTCGCCCTCCTCGCCCCGCTGGTTCAAAGCCACTTCAGCCTGGTGCCGGGTCACCTTGCCGTAGTACCACTGTTTCCCCGCAAACCTCCCGCTTGCCGAGGGTGCCACATAGTCGCAGTCAGGCGTAGGAGGCCCTCCGTTGCCCTGCCCGCTGTTCTGCAGCACCGTGACGTAGTTCTTGGGCACGAGCCCAGTCCGCCCGTCGCCCTTGCGGCACTTCCACCACTCGGGGTCGTTCTCCGGCTTCTCCACCACGTCCATGACCTCACCCTTCTCGAAGTTCAGCTCTTCCTCGTTACTGGAGCTGAAGGGGTAGAGGGCCTGGACGACATGGAGCACGCGGTTGCCATTGGCACTCTGCACGACGGCCGCCAGCTTCTCGGTCAGCGAGCTCACTGGGTCCATCGGCGCCGTGCCGTCCAGGTCCTCCGTCACGTAGTTGGACGGGAACCAGCCCACGTGGCCGTCGTAGCTACCACGCCACCAGCCGTCGCTGCACTTCTCCATGACGATGACCCGCGTGCCCTTGACCAGCGACAGCTCATCCTCCCGCTCAGCCGCGTAGCTGAACTTGACCAATGCTGGCAGGTTCAGATCATACAGTCGCTCCCCGTTGTCCAAGAACATGTCGCCGTCAGCATTGGAGGCAGTCTCCCTCATGCCGGGTTTCCGCTTGACCTTCCCGAACCCTACAGACAAAGACAGACAGGTAGAACCCGGGGGATTAGTGGCTTAGCCTATTAGACCCTTAGGAATTCCCTCCAAGATGTCTGAAACGCCTCAAGCTGGGATTTTCACCATGTCTTCAAGGCCTCGGAGGAGCTTCAACTACAAGATGAAATCCAAAGAGATCTGCCAAGTCGTCCTGGCATGATACTAAGGTCAGCTGCTTGGCAGCTGCAGTAAAGGATTAGCAAGGGAGGTGATTAATAGTGAACTCTAATCAGGATTGTGAGGAGCCGTTGTCCAAGAACTACTCAATAATTCATTGTAAAAGGCCATTTTCAATAAAAATCTCTTTGCATTTGAGTTTCAGCCAAGCAGTCGCTTGTTTTCCAGAAAGGTGGAATTTCCACGACGATAACCTGAAGTCAATCGGGAGCAGACACTGTCAAGCGTCTTTGTTGACTGTCATCACGCGAATATAGGCCAGGGGTGAAAGATACCAGCTAAAATCGCATGACAAACTCTGAATGAAAGGCCAATTTCAATACACATTTCTTCGCATTTGAGTTTCAGGCAAGCAATCACTTGTTTTTTGGAAAGGTGGAATTTCCAAAGCCAAGACCAACAGCCAATCAGGAGCACATACTGTCTTGTTTACCTGCTCCTGCCTTATTTACACCGATTTCACATGAGTAAATGCAGGAGGTGAGTGCTCAAAGCTGATGTGCATGACAAACTCTCAGGAGGGGCAAGTGAAACTGCTCTGGGGGATGAAAGGCTGGACGCTCTTCACTGCTCGTAGGGGAGATGAGTCAGGTATTCAAGAGCTGGCAAGATACAGGTCAGTATTCACTGCAAGTTTTGGCAAAAACAAGTAGCCACAAAGACCTGTAAAGCTGCAAATCATTATTATGTGCAGAACAGAAAGCCTGTTTTGGGGTCTCTTACTGGCTAATTAACAGCCCACTTGCTAAAATGCACGTTAAATCACAGATAATGAAAAATGAGGAAAGCAGAAACCTTTGGTGTCCTGTATTCATTGTGCTCCTGACATTTTTTTATGAATAAATGGCAAAATGTTACTGTGGATTCATCCAACCTACAACCACTTCTCTGTGTTACTTGGGGGTGCAAGGCTGAGGTGCACCTTGGATGGGATGCCAGTTATTACTGTTCAAAACGGTTACAATCTCTAAACTGTAATGATCCTCACAGTCGCAGCCTTAGCACTTACACGCCTTATATATGTACAAGGACTCAAGCATCTGGGAAACACCCCCCACCCCAAACAGCCAATACTCAGCACTATAAAGAAAATGTGCTTGGGCACTTTCATACGACAACATGAAGGCCATCTACCATTTCATTGGAAAAGGGGGGTAGGGAGGGGGATATTCTGAAATATACATCCAAAGAAAGACCCAAAGGCTGTTACGGCTCACCCAAGGTCATTAGTATCAGCAGTGCTCTTCGCGTTTCTAGAGGCAGTGAAGCTCGTAAACATCACCGAGCCGCGCTCATACGTCGTTACCCACGCTGCCTCCGTTTGCACGAAAATTACAAACGTTAGCCTAGCCGAACCGGACGCTGCCTACTCAAAATAGCTTCACCAGAGACATAAAAGATGAAAGTCAAGTGAAGAACGACGCCGTTGCTGACAAGCATGAGCAAGACCGGACAGAGAATCCAGATTTTATCACGGCAAGGGGCTCAGACAGTGCTACTGTAAGGGCTCTGATAGCTACAGTACACCTTGCTGTCACTGGTGCTGACTCATTCTACTCAGAGAACATAATTACTGCAGCAGTGGGTACCGTCTTTCGGTGCTGAGGCACAGATGTAGCTGCCTGGAACACATACACCAGAATCAGCTCATACCGCTGGACTAAATCTGTTATTCTGTCAATATTTGTTAAGGTGTTAATACTGCAAGCCAGAAGCTTCTGCCTATCTGAGATCACACTAGTCCATCACACCTACAACAAAATTAAAATCACATTTCATCCAAAAACATCCTGGATTGCTCCCAGTGCTTTCTGGGATACGATCCAGGGCTCACTTGTAAGCCTGCACGGGATCACAGAAAAAGTACAGGTGTACTGAAATATGACGTTTCTATTGCAGGAATTCTTGTTAAAGCTTTATAGTGAGATTTTTGCTTAACCATGAAACAAATATTGGAAATTCAGTGTCTAAAGTGATTAACACTTCAGATAAAATGTACCCCGTTTAAACAAACATTCATACAGTCTTGAAAAAAAACAAAGTGCACCCACAATGTGGCAGGTATCTGGGAAACCTATTTTGTATTTGGTCTTGCCAAACATAGATAGATCACTATTTACCTATGAAAGTGCCAGTGCACAGGTCAGATACAGTCACGGCTAATATAGAAGCAGATGTGCAATTAAAAAAATGTTTAAATATTTAGAAGAAAAAAAAAACTGGAAAATTTAAAGTCATAAAATAATAATATGATATTGTGCATATGCATGATGATCTCTACATGTATAATTTCCAAATAGATCTTTTGCTAAAGACTCTGTTTTACCTAAACCGACATGCACATAATTCACATTCAACTTACACACTGAAGTTTTACACACCGTGTGCTCATGCCTGCAAGGAAAGTGATAGCAGTTTAGTAGGTGGCTCAAGTGGTTGCAGAGTTTGTTTTGTATCCAGTTACTTAAAAGTACAAAGAAAAAACAGCTGCTAATAAAAATATATATTATAAATAATAGAGAACCCTGAACGGCAATGTGAAAGCAAGGAAGTAAACAAAAGCATTAAAGAATCTTTTTAACATTAGTCCGCATTAAAATCTAGCTACCATAACATTACCTGCCGATAAGTATTTAGAAAGTCATTCATGAGCCATTACCGCCCACAACCCATACAAGCTTCTATTTAAATAAATTGTATTCATTTAACCCCATATTTTTATTAGGCATAATTTACTATGAATTACTACAAATCACTACCTGTTTATTCCAATAGGAATAACAAATGGAAACTGGGTCAATGGCACAATCATCCCACCCAACTTGGGTTTCAAAGCCTCTTCTCACCATCTGGTATCTAGAACATCACTATGGAAATGTCTACAAGGAGAGCAGGCCTCCCCAACAGGGAGCTGGCTGAGCAAACTATGGAAGGAGCCCCCACCGGTTCCCACCGTGACACAATGGACATCATTATCGCTCTCTCTCTGGTACGTAGTTATCATTCCTCTGCAGCCATCTGACCTTTGGCAAAGTAATGCTGCCTCTACAGACAGGCTGAGACTCGCGGCCGGTCCAGAGTCTGCATCTCCAAATTCAAATGAATACTCCTTACTCCATTGTCACGGAGATGCATTATGCAACCATGATAAAAAGAAAACACTAATGGCACAAGCAAGACTCATCTGAAGTAGGTTATTGTCCTTAAATCTGAATGGACTTAAATACTGAAGATCCTTTTGTAAAAACAGTAGAATTGGGAAATTTGCCCACAGAGAAACCTATGATGTTGAAGAAGTTACATGTACAGACCACGACTGCAGGAGTTTTGCCTGCCAAAGATAACGAAAAAAAAATCATAGTTTGGGGGAAAAAAGAAAGGCAGAGTAGTCCTCGGAGAATTAAATTGGTAGCGAAAAACTGTAGGCCAAGGCGCAGCGACTTGACTGTGTGTCAGTTGAGCCTCAAATGTTCAGGCAAAACGCCTGAGAAAAAGCCGCAGAACAGGCTTGTGGAGAGACGACAGCCGAAAGCTGGGAACAAGCTACCGTGACGGCCGAGGAGATTGGGGATCGTTTGCATTTCTGCATTACAAAACAAAATAGTTTGACACTTTGGGTCTGGCGGGGAATGTGGGGACCTTAACCAGACTCAGATTTGATAATCGCAGCTTTAAGCTGTAAGATATCAAAGGCCAGCAAAGTTGGGATAGTTAATGTCTTTTCCTGCAAAAGGAGAAATGGCAGCAAGAAAAACTGGTTGTAATACCTGGAGAGAGATCCAGCAATGACAGACCTCCTGAAATGAGGAAGAAAATTTCATGGCAGGGAATTTAGTCATGGTCACATGCTCACTTTTCTTCTGGAAAACTCCCGTTTTAAAAGCTTACAAATGCTGCATGATGCTATAGGGTGCATTGGATGTATGGGCTTTGAGGTGCAGTGGTTTTGACCAAAAGAAAGTGTGCTGTTCCAGTTCTATCTTCATAAGGTGATGGAGTGCAAAAATCCAGCCACGACATAAAATCTTACAGCAGCTGAACTCGTAAAAAGTGCCCGATCTGTCCACCACGAGGCCCTTATGCCATGCTAAATCACTCAAGCTAGACCGTCAACACGACTGGGCACTTACTGAGATGCTTCCTGCAGGAAACTAAAGTGGAAGCTTTGCATATAGCTTAACCTCCCCCCTACCCCCAGCCCGAGAGCCGTATCCGTTTTCCTGTCTCTCTTGAACCATAGTAGGTGGTTCTACTTTGCCATCTTATCAGATAACGAAGAATTCATGTGTGAAGACTCATCTTATCACCCGGAGCTGGACGAGTGCATCTTCCCTGTCTGGACAAGCTATGAGAAGAGTTTAAATGTGAATTTGCATGCACTGCATGTCAGTGTGTCCACACAGCTGGAGAAAGATGCTTCTCTAAAATTTAATTACGATACACATACCCTGAGCAACTTCGCATTACAATTAGCATCTTTTCCAAAGGACAGGACAGGACAGCACAGGCCTCTCAGAAAACCGGCAACAAGTAGGTCACATGACACAGACATAAACTAGCATGCCAATCTGCTGAATTATTAGAAACTAGACAGCATGACCGAAAAAAAAACGTTAGCAGAGTTAGCAGGAGATCAGCAGAGTCAGAATTAGCAGATCCGATGATAGCTATAAATATACAGGGCTAGCAGACCCGACGATAGCTATAAATATACAGGGCTAGCAGATCCGACGATAGCTGTAAATATACAGGGCTAGCAGATCCGACGATAGCTGCAAATATACAGGGCTAGCAGATC